TGATAGGTTAATATCACATAAACATCACGGAAATATATAGTTATTAGAATATGTAATTGCATACCATGAATAATATATCTACGATTATTAACATTATTATTTAAATTATTATTATCATTATAACTGGAACAACAAATTTCAGTTACAATTAACAACAAAACAAAACGTAAGTGATTGGTATTGGTGTGATGATTTGAGGTAGCAGAATTTGTTATACTTATTAATGATTCCTAAGACTGTCCAGTCCGTACTCTAGTAGTCGAGATGGGACTTACCCACACCTCACAGAAGAACACTGAGTTCAGTTGAAGGCTAGAATCGTGTGAGTTCGAAGTGAAACTAACTACTTGGGGTAGAGAGACAAAAAATATTCTACCACCTGATTGGTTGACAAGCGCGTGAGAGAAAGAAGAGAGTCAACCGGAAGGCTACTTGATTTATTCCCAATTCCGATTCAGGTTAGTGTAAAAAATAAATGAATAAATAGATGACTAACATGACCTTAAGGCACAACAATTAGAAAATACAATCATGTCCAAAACTAGGCATTAGGGTAGAGTACCAAAGCTTACGTTTAAATTACAATAACTTGAGAACGAAAAGGGGTATGACAGTGAACCAGATATCAAGCCAAAGCTGATGCTTTGTAGAACAAACTTGGGACAAAAATAAATGTTAGTGATTTACAAGCTTTAAATTAAGTAAAATAACATCCCAAATATAAAGCTTCCATTGTTAGTTATAGCTTCTTTGTTTCTCCGTTCACATCATATATATATATATATATATATATATATATATATATCACAATTTGCCGAGTAATTGTATTTATGTTCTTCAGAAAGTTAATCGAATCACCCTGAGGTATTCACGTACAATGCATTTTAAAAATGAGTATTTACGAAATAATAAAATAAATATAAGACTCCCAATTTGCAAGTAAAAGCTTTAAGACGATTAAACAACTCACCTGCAATACTAACCCTGCTTCATCTAAACAAAAAGCTATGCCAGTGATAACTTCTTGTCTGACACTGAAATATTTTCACTCAGAAGTTCTAAACTTAAAATACAATTCCAGTTAATTACCTACCCCATGTTCATCATTATATTTGATCATAGTTGTATAACTCATTCATACGTTAGTAATAAGGAGATGAGTAACTCAGTAGAGTATACAGAAATAATATAATCCCTGGTTATCTCAAAATAGTCATCCCTGATAGTTTAAGTGATAAAACACAGAAAAATTACTTAACAATCGGATGAAAGCTAACTTGTACATTGTAGAACATCTGATAGGTACATGTGCAAAGACCTCCTCTTACTAAATCAAGATCATAGTCTTCAAACTTTATCCGATTATGAATCAATGAGTTGGATTCTATTAACTAAAATAGTTGTACTAAATGATGATTTTCTTTTATTCATACGACTTCATGATCGTCTGAGATCTCTTCAACAAACAAAATTTATTTCAAATAAGCAGTTGATATCAGTTTTGGAAATATGATACAAGCTTAAACTAATATAATAACTCTCCTACAATTAATTTTGTCGGGACCTTTTATTAACTTACTTAACAGACAATGTTGATCGAACAGTAACTATTCCCATATTTCTTTGTGTTATTGTGATCACTATCATGTCTGTATAAATGTGTATGCTTGATTATGCGTGACAGCCTATGTACATATTCTTCATTCTACCTCAAATGTTAATTGTTCAAATATCTCTTGATGAATCATTCACCTTCCTATATATATGCTCTTGGATTTTATGAATTGCTTTCGCTTCGCCTTACCTCTCTGCGTCGTGATCCGACCTGACCATAAATCTGCCTTTGTATTCGCTCAATCACACACATTCGCCCCTCTGTTCCAGTTCGCTCAATGTGCTTGTAACATTAATATCTGTGCTGTTCAATGATAAACTGTAGTCGCCGCACCTTGTTGCAATATGAACTCTTACACCGTTGGAATTTACATGATAGTGGTTATCAAGGTGATTGATAAACGAAACATAAGGTATTATCTCGAAGACAAGCCACTCCATTTACTCCTAAAAGCTATATATGAAAACAGTATCACATTCTAAAAGTTTTCCTTTGGTTAATTACTGATTAGAATGTTGTTGATTCAAATAACCATAACATCCCACGTTAATCATGTTTATATTTCCTTTAAAAGTCTATTCAATCAGTAGGACCAATCATAATCAACAAAGAAAAAAATCTCAAATGTTCCCGGAACCAGTATATCAAACAGCACAATAATCATAATAAAAATCTACCTTCAAAGCTAGATGAATTAGAAAGCAAATTATTAAGACATCCTTTACTATTATTTCCTTACTTGGTTCAGTACTTACCTCTTTCTGTAAGTTTGTTTAATAACGTCAATAAAGTAACATTATGTGTTCATTTATATTAGTTTATAATCTTAACTATGATAATTATAGGTAGTCGGATTAATGTGCTAACTAAGAGTTCCAGAAATAGTACAATTTAAGATATGTAGAACTAGATGAGCACAACTGAATGTATTATATTTGGAAGTTGTAATCAGAGCGCAATGAAGTATAATGGAATCATTAGTTAGTACAAATTCCACAGCGACATTAGATAATTAAATTAGGACTAATTAGTAGTTAACTGTGTTAGTCGCCTTTAATAAACCGGTGAAGCAATATTATATATATATATATATATATATATATATATATATATATATATATATATATATATATATATATATATATATATATATATATATATATATATATATATAGTAATCTTCTAGTTATCTAATTGAAAAAAATAAGGAAAACCCATGAGTTTATTTAATATCTACGTTTGAAACAAATATCTAGGGAGATAAAGTTTGTTAGCATATCGAAAAATCATATTACTGGTAAGACATTTCATTAAGTGATTATTGTTAACTCTTACACATCAAAGTTTACTGACCCATGATCTCAACTATAGAAATTACTATAATATCCACAAAACCCCTTCTGATAAAAAAATTAACTGATAAGAACTAGTTTAATTAAGTATCAGTATTTTAGATTATTAGTTGATGTAGTAGGATCTTCTTAAAATCACAATATATAAACAAGACAATCAAAATAGAGAAGACTACTTACAAGCATTTCGCGCGAAGTTTAAAAGTGAATGATACTCGTAGTCCATTGAATAACAAGTGGTCTGATGAAGTAAAAGTTCTAGAATAAATAACTTTATGCATAATGTTTTTTCATGTCGCTGTGGTGACAGCGATGATTTCTTGATAATTTATTCTTTATAACTCCTCAGCAAATTTATTAATAGAGATTTTGTAGGTGATGATGAATATTTGATAAAACTATTTATGGTAATCACTAAGTATGATAATTAGGAGTATTTGAATTGTAATACTAACTAAGAATCCCAGAAATAACGCAATTGAACCAAGAAGTACTACACAAGCACTAACGAATGTACTGTATTTGAAATTCGAAATCAAGCATTCAACAAGCACAAAGGAATCATCAGTTCATTCAAACACTACACTAAGATTCATAAAGAAACCTATGAAATCAATCAATACAGAGCAAGATTAATGAGGTTATAAAGCCACACTTTACTACTTCCGTTGTGAATTACCTTTAATTTTTACTGATTCTCTGCTTATTATTTGAAAGTAACTTCAAAATCATGAAGTAATTTTATTATCATTTTTCTCTACTTCAAATTTGGCATATGCTACTAAATGATCTAAATAATTCGACAAAATAATTTAGTCTATTGACGGATCAATTAAATGCAACTGATTTATGACACTAAACTAATAAATATGTTTCAGTTGCATAATAATCCAATCCCTTTTCAATTAAAGTGGAAATATTTCAAGTACTAATCGAGGTAAAGAAAGGAGATAAATTTTTGACTATTTTAAAGAGAAACGTTTCTAGCTGGTTATAGGTCATATTAGTGAATTCTTTATTGCTGCTCATTATAAAATGTTTCTACAATCTTGAAAAGTAATGATATTTCAGCTAATTGAACATGTATCAACTAGAATAACAACCATAGACATTATCTTTAAGCTTTTATAAATTGATTGATCTATTTTAAAGTTGAAATAATTAATAATAGATTAGTTTATAAAATTTGATCACCAATTAAGATTAAACACAGTAAGACTGGTAATTAGTTAGAAATCTTAAATCGTACAACACAAATAATTAAAAATTTCACCATAAACAATAGGAAAATAATACAGGTTAAAGTAATAAAATAAGAAATTAGACATATGTCTTATTGTACTCATAGATGTGACATAAACAGGTGAATTGTGATAGTCTGATTATATTTGTAAAGCAGTTCTCCACTATTATTAATTGTTTTCGTTACCCACTTGTGCTTGTTACTAGCTACATCACTACAATGGGATATTTATTGAAGAAAAATGCTACATAGTAAACTGCCTTTTGTTATTCCTCCAGGAAGGATCAAATCACTATATTCCCTACTGAATAAGTTAATTTATTTTGATCATTTTTATCCTCAGTAGTACAGTTTCTTATTTTAGTGTCATCATAAACTAACCATAAAATTATTTAATCTTTTTTGTTTATGAATACTATTGACTTATCTTCTCTAAGTCTCTCTTTAATTTCAAAGTAAACTACAATTATCAGTACAAAGTTGTGTTGAGTTTTAACTGAGATCATAAATCGATCGATGTCAGACTACTACCACAATAATCAATAATAGATTTATGAACTAGAATTCATATCTTACTGACCTTTTAAGTAGAACTACCTAAAACAATAAAACCAATCAAGTTTTTTTTTAAATGAGACAGGTTTCCAAATACATGACTTAAATGATTCGAAGTCATATTCCTAAGCTAAACCTTTATAATCAGTTAAAACTTTTGAATGGATTAAACTTATTTTACCTTTGATTCAACATTGTTTCTTATCAATCTGATATGAATATTCGTTTTATACTTATGATCAAGGTTTCGAAGACAGTAATTGATTTGTTAGATCGGCCACATAAAGAAAAACTGGTAGATTTGGTTAAAATAGCAAAACATCAGAATATTCATGAAAATGTTCATAATAAAACAGGGGTGAAGTTATCTAAACAATCAAACAGTAGTTTAATGTAAGTTAAATTCACGGTAATTTATAATTAAAATGAATTGATTGGCTTGTGGAGATTAGTTAAATATGATGATTTTTGTAACTGAATAACTTTAGTATCAGAATCATTGAAAACTATGGAGCACTGGTTTGAGACTCCTTAGTAGTGGGCAGTTATGACACGGAGATTAAATACCAGTACTACAATAAATACGACCATTGGATCAGAATTCATTGGTATAAACAGCAGTAATTGTTTAGTGCTATTGGTAGAAAGTGTTTTACTATCCAAATAACCAAACTCTACCAGTCTTCCGAGAGAAGCCCTTAATAAGAAGCAATATTATTTGAAGAACTACTGCAGCTTGTAAGTCATCAAATAATCAATGCATGACAAAAATTACTTGCGCAAACAGGTTGCAGTGTATTTTTTTCTTTCAAATCTTAATGGATCTTGACTATTCTTGAGGCTAAACAAAGATAACATATTATAATGTCACACGTATTAAATGAAGCATTATATTATTCAGATTTTTTCCTAGTTCATAAGGTAAATAAAATCAACGAAATAAAATATCTTTCTTGTAATAAATGAGACCCATTGTGCCATTAAAGAATAAATGAAATAAATTCAGTGAATGAAATTTTCTCTTCGACAAATATCATTCACTGAAACTGTACAACCATATTTATTCTGATGTGAAATATAGGTATTAATCTATTAAAAAATACAATAAAAGTATATCATAAAAATTGTTCAAAGAATGCAAATATCATAAGACGATTGTGTAATAATTTCAAGTATAATCTCCATAACCCCATACTGATAATTACCATGTGCTCACTAGTGACTAGCTTCGTGAGGGAATTCTCGGAGTTCTAGTGAGAAGCCATGACCAGTGGAGCTAATCCGTGTCGGGTGGAGACAGGTATCTACCTCAATACAATGAAAGATAGTCGCGCAATTTCGTGGATTGGTTGAGGTTAGAAATCAACACCGTTGGATGCCGGCCGACTCAGTGGTCTAGAGGTTAAGTGTTCGTGCGCGAGACCGAGGACAATTGGTTCGAATCCCACGAGCGGGATCATGGATGCGTACTGCTGAGCAGTCCCACAATAAGACAAAAGAGCCCTCCAATGCTTCCAGGTTTTTAATGTTGGTTTGACATCAATGTGTTCATAATCTCAATTAAAAAATGGGGAGATAAAAACAACTTATGGATCAGTGAGATAAGAAATAATTATCCACTTGACAGTCAAAGAAGAAGAAATAAATAACGTAGAAAAAATGAAAGTCTACAAATAATCATTCTAAAAATTTGAAAGACACTGATAATGACTGACTTATTAAAAAAGAAATAAATTAGAAAAGATGTTACACATGTCAATTTTGTACCGAGATTTACAGTATAAGCTGTTGAATTTTTAAAGCATCTACAATGTGCACGTTTCCACTATCGGTTCTATCTTTGAAGTTAATCATTTGATTGTGTAGATAATTTTCGAAAATAATTCAGATAAATCAATATGATCAGAATCGATAAGATGTTCATGGATAGATTTATCGATTAATATTTCACTTTTATGTCTTTTTTTATAAAAAAAAACATTCCAGAAGTGATAGTAAGTTACACTCTTCAGTTAGTTCAATTAAATCAAAAGTTGAAGATGAAGATTCCATTGAACCAGAAATGTTCATAGAAGTTAGTTGTTTTTCGTTTCAATTAATTTATTCATTCAACTTTTCCAAGCATTGACTATAATGTTAATTTGTCAGTATAATATTTTAACGAAGCAGTAATTAGATAGTCAACAAACTAAGTAATTCATTTTATCGACCGAAGCTTAAATAAGCCTCAAAGCTTAAATAAGCGAAAAGCATTTCTAATGACATAAAAGTTAATAGGCTTAAGTGCATTTCTTTTAGGAAGTCAATCATCCTTAATAAACATAGAATCTAACAGAAATATGCACTGACCCATAATACCATATCGCATTAAATTGATAAGATAAATTTAAAAAGATGATTAGTAAAACAATAAAAATAATGTCACAGCAATCATACTAAGAAGAACTGAACACTGAGTATATGGTGCAAAAACAATAATGAGAAAGTACTTATTAATGAATGTTAAAAGTCAAGAGCTTGAGGAAGATAAATAGTGAATACATCTGCACCATTGTGACAGATTCTAAACTGTCACCAAAAGTCTTCAATAATCAATCGTGGTTATTATGTGAACTTCAACCAAGTTGTCTGCAACTACCTTCTTACCGTTTCAAAAAAAATAGTTTAACATAGTTTGTTTCTGGTTGGACGTAGCCAAATTTTATTAACCGTCTTGTAAATTCATAATTAGTATTAATCTCAATTATTGCGTTTGTTAGTCTCAGTCCGAGAGTTTAGATACAATATGTTTTACATAGTTGAATTTCTTTTCAGTTATAACACTTTTCAGGAAACCATTCTTATTAATTTCCTAATATCATTCAATGAAACTCTTGTCATTAACATGCTCTTATCACAAAAAATGGATAGTATTTCTTCTATATAATCACGATTTTCATGACAACCATATTTAAACCTCGATCATGTTCAAGAAAGATGACATCTCACTTCATTCCGTTGACACTGAAAATTTGGAACGTTTACATGTCACGATACTTGTTGATCATATTTGGAACCCGTGAAATTAGCTGATAACTAGTAAGAAGAAATCGAGTGAGCGACTACAAATTAGTCGAAAATATTATTAGTTCAGTATGATAAGCAGTTATGTTCTCACTAATTAAACTATGTGTTAATTTATCATGACACTATTTTAAGTCATAGTCGGTTGAACTTAACCAATAATCACTGTAGAGTAAATCTGTATATGACGGGGTAAATTGAAATGTTATTTTGAATCTAGTGTTTAAATATGAAATAAATTTTCACCTAAAATCATTGTTTGTCTTCCTCCTTAAACTTACTCATTCAACTGTCTCAGTCAACAACAGTAATTTATATCACTTTCACTTCCATTCATATTTATCTATTAGTAGTGACTTTAAAAAATGGGGACTCATTTGATTAAAGTAATTTTGGAATTGTGTATTAGTTAATAAATCTGAAATTGTGAAATCATTGACAGTCATGTAAAATCCAAAGAAACACAGTTTATTATAGATAGATAATATCTAAAGATGATGAATTGGTTATATACTTACTTAGGTTAACCGAAATTAGATTTGCATTATTGTTATGGATAATAAATTTTAACAGGTTTTGTTCAGTGTTGCTTTATTGTATTGATTTATTTAATTATTAAATTAAAGAAATTAATGAACTTAGTATGATATATCAGAAAAATATCTGATGACTTAATGTATCGAATATGAACTTTAGTTAATTTGCTCAATCTTCTCAAACTGGTATCTGATCAATATAGAATTGTAGAAAGTGCCTATGATTATTTTCACTAACAAATCAAACTGATTTTATGTATACTACTCACAAGAGTATACATATGAAACATCTTATTCTCAAAATTACTGTGTGCGTTCAAAACTGAAAACATATAAAATGAGATGCCTCCAAATGCTCTGGTACGGTCGAGAGTGGGGAGAGTCCGCTCTCCCTCTCGAAAGACTCTCACATGGCTACGCGTACATAGTCTCTGCCAGGGAAGTCCTAATTACTGCCTTCTCGCACCACAGGTGTTGTTTACGGAATTGAGAGGACGAAAAGTAAATGTCCGGTGCTTTAACCGGGTTGGTGGACACGGAGAGTCCACCTAGGCGAGTTGGAAAACCTTAATTCCAAACCAATGGTGTGGCGCAGATGTTATTCGGTGCCCCTTTTTACCAATATTAATGTGTTCAAATAATAATAATAAAATGTTAATAAAGATCTCACGAAGCATAAACAGGAATCGTAGGGCTCGTGGTCGTTAAAACACTAACCAATTTGAACTACCAAAAGACTTTTCAGTAGATGATATTCCTTAACTTTAAACGATTTAATTTGATGGACTTAACAGAAGTAATTCAGTTAATAAATCATAACAATTCATGAAAACATCCTGGTATTTGGTTCTCAGTTCACACTATTAATTTATCTAATGATTTTAAACATTGTTTCATTTTAGAGTGTTCTTTTCACAGGATATTATTAATTCCGTTTTTTTCTCAACTTGACAGTACCCATCAGTCAAGGAAGAAACATTAGCATTTTGTGAATTTATTAAGAATTTGGATGGTTCATCAATTGACAATCCGGAACCGACAACACTAGCAAGTTTATTTGCTGGAACACATGAAGCTCAACCCCCAGTATCAACGCCAATTAATGTTGTTGAATTGATTAACTTACCATATGAATTAAGACACTCTATTAAAGAACCACCCAAATTACTCTGTGATAAGCATTCTTTGGCTGATTCAGAGAGTTTGCCGCGTATAACTAAGTCAAATGCGGCTAAAAGGCAAGAAAAGGTAATTATCTGTGATCGTTTCATAAAATATTGTAAAATAACGATTTTAAGATAAAGATACTCATCACTACTAACCGTTTAACAACTATTTAAAAGGACATCAACCTCAATGTTTTTTCTCTTTTATAAGACCACTGATCCAAGGCTCTTACAGAAAACATCCTTGTATTTTAATTTACCCAAATTGTTTTTAAAACAAATAAAGTCATATAAGTTTTTAACTCCCAAATATATTAGAATTTATCAGAATAGGTTTGTAGATATTGTTGAGTTTTAATTGAGATCATGAGCCGATCAATGTTAGACCACCATTGAAAACCTGGAAGCACTGGACGGCCGTTTCGTCCTAGTATGGAACTCCCACAATTTGATCCCAGGACCTTTCGTATCGCTCTCTTAATGTCTAGACCACTGAGATTAAGAAACTGTTCACAATGCAAGCAATCCTCTACTAATCTTCATGAACAATAACAGTATAAACAAGTTCTAGTCCATCTACTCGGCTTTTAACTACGCTTTCTGTATTTAATCTAGTGAAGTTAACTACTTAGTGCTCCAGTAGACAAGAGAGTCAAATTTTGTTCGACTTAATTTAGTTTGAGTGGTTGATTATTTGCATAAAAAGGTGGGGTTCAAAAACAATTTCATAAACCTAAACCCGATAAATTAGTTTTATCAACCAGGCACAACACAGTGATAATGAACTCTTACTGATTGATGATTGCACTCTAGTGTTATGTACTTTATTCCATGAATTAAACTGAGTTGGTAATTCAGAAGGATATTCTTAGATTGCATTGAACGATATAAAATCCATGTTGCAAGTTAAATGAAGTTGAAAATTCTATGAATTTTAAAGTTTGAAAAAAATATAGAGGGCGATAACACGACCATTCAAGACATGTAGGTCATGGGGCTCTATTGCTTATGTAATCATCTACAACCATAGATTATAAATAATTCAAGAAACCTAATCAAGATCCCTACATTTGTTGACATGAGTCAGTTAATTAGTCTGTGATACCATTATAGTGTTGTGAGTTCATACAGTTTAAGAGTCTCAAATAATAGTTATACTATATGTCTAGCTCCGCTTTCAGCTTATTGTGAATACGATAATCAAACAGACTACAGTCTTAGCTGACCAGAATAGGGTACTTCAATCAACTGATGGCTGTTTGTTGAACTGACTAGTCTCAAATCACAAAAGTTCAAATCGCTCACTTATTTGTACTAACGATCCATATAACATGATAATGAACTTTCAAGGCATGATTAATACAGTCAGATGAAATCTAACTGTGAAAAGTAAGAAGTTTTTATTCCATCAGCTAGTTCTGGCGATTAGTGTCAGTGGTTTTTTCCAACTCAGTTTTTCTTAGTGTTAAATATTATCCAGTATCTATATTGGTGCCAGTAACTCTTTAATGGTTCACACACTTTGATCTCAGTATTTTTCTTCGTAATGGAAACTGCAATGAAACTTAATAATTAGATTGGAACTGACTGATATTTACATCTTACATATTTTAGGTATCAATATAAATGAAATTCTAAAAATAAACAGGAGCCTTTAAAAGACTACTAAATTTGCTGCACTATACGTATAAATATAAGTTGAATGATGAAATAATACCATTCAAATGAAGCGCTTCCCGGTTGGGAACAACAATTCATGATAATCCGGTAGAAATAACACTGATCGGTCAACACATAAACTATATAGTTTATTGAAAACAAACAGTATAAATGAAGTGAAAGTTCTATATACCGAGCCTAAAATGGACTAAATAAGTAAACTTAAGTAATCCATAGATTATTTTACTAAGAGTGTGAATAGTCAATCCCACAGGACAAGTTGTATCGACTAAATACAAATGGAAAGAGTGTGACAACCAAAAGTACTTATCAGTAAATAACATGACGGATGTATTTAATGAGTACATTACGTATATTTAATCAACGCTCAGACTTTTACTTTTCTTTCGATTATTAACTAATAATCCCAGAATTTTGAAAGATTACATTATGGTGCATGGTATATTCCACCGAAACAATGGAAAGTTATCAAAGATAATGATGCGAACATGATATACAATAAAAGTGAATTTGAAAATTTTAAAACTAAATCACATAAGGAACAAGTAGAGAGCTTAAATGGGAAAATGAAAGAGACACATGGATACGATGCCTTTATGGAATTTATACAGAATAAAAATAAACGTATACCTAAGGTGAGAAAAGAAGCATTCGGTTTCAGTATTCATATATATCATGAAAATCTATGTAAAGTTTGAGCTTTGTGGTTAGATTATTCATTGGATTGGAACATAATTTCAACCAGTAAATTTTTCGGAGTTAATCAAGTCTTCTTCTCCCTTGGTTAAAGGTCATAGTCAAGTAAATATAATTGAACGTCACCATGAGTAAACTGGGTAAGTAAGTCAAACCAAACACTTTTCACAGCATGCAATTGTCTTGACTTGTCTCTTAATTGTTCTACCTGATAAAGAACAAGTATTTATTATGAAGAGAATGCGGTTTGATGTCTTAAGATGTGAGTAAAGCGTTCAAATTTATCAATACTTGATGTGGTAATGGAGTTGTTGAGCGTGGACAAATTGCGACGGAATACTGATTACAAAATATGTGATTTCTTTTCCTCTTACTAATTTCTCATCAGGACTCACTAAATGACCACTTGTAATTTTGTTGAATAAAGTACTATCTAGTCTATACTCTGGTTCTCTATTCCGGCTCGTGAATCCTGGATCTGATAAAACGTGTCTAGCCTCATTATCGTATTAACGTATTATCGTAAAACACTTGGAGGAAAGAAATATTTCGAAAAACCGTTATATCAGTACTATAAAGTTTAAACTTTTATATTAAGAAAAACACATAAAACTGGGTGGTATATTTACCTAATTATTTGTCCAATGAACAACAAATCTATCACAATAGCATGAAATCATTTGTTTTTTATTTTCTCTCCAACATTTTTTAATCCAAACATCATTGTAGTAATCATTAAAAATGTGGTGTACATAATTTATATCATAATATCAGACAAATTCTCAGTTATTTATTTATTTTATTTATTTGAACACATAAATACTGGTACAAGAGGGCACCAGATACATATGAGCCACACAAATCTCATTTGATTTGTGTGATGGCTGTGGTACTGCACGGGTGGTTTTCTTAGGAGGTCACATCCGGAGCCTTCAACTTAAAGATCTGATTCACAAGGCAGTGAAGCATCGTAAGGAGATGCAGTCCCATGGTAGCCGGTGACCAACGACTGGTTCATACGCCATTTGTTCCCTCAGGGTACTGGAGCCCATATGCGCCACTGGTTAGGAATCAGGGTTTTCCAACTCGCCTAGGTGGACTCTCCGTGTCCATCAACCCGGTTAAAGCACCGGACATTTACTTTTCGTCCTCTCAATTCCGTAAACAACACCTGTGGTGCGAGAAGGCAGTAATTAGGACTTCCCTGGCAGAGGCTATGTACGCGTAGCCATGTGAGAGTCTTTCGAGAGGGAGAGCGGACTCTTCCCACTCTCGACCGTACCAGGGCAATATCTAAATGCTGAATATATGAATATTCTAGAATACAAATTTAGTGGATAGAAACAAAATTGTTGAGAAAGGAAAAATTATGTTATAGCTATATAATATCTAAAATATAAGATAAAATTGACAAAGTACAAACCAGATAAGAAGTTATAATTAGTGTCATAGAAAAGATAGGTTACTCAAAGAACATTTTTAAATCAGGCTACAGTCACAAAACATTGACATTTTTCTGGGTGTATAAATTTGGTATATATCTAGATACATTTTTCCTCCTCAATGTCGCACATCTACTTGGTTCCCAGATATTATGAAACTATTCGATTAAATTTAGACGAATGTCCGGCGCTTTAACTGGATCTCAAACCAATGGTGCATATGGGCTCCAATACCCTGAGGGAACAAACAGCGTATGAACCAGTCGTTGGCCACCGGCTACCATGTGACTGCATTTCCTCACGATGCTCCACTGCCTTGTGGATCAGATCTTTAGGTCAAAGGCTCAGGGTGTGGCCCCCTAAGATAACCACCTGCTTTTGTCTGAGCACCCGGACAGTATCACAGCTCACACACAAACATGATGAAATGTTGACATTTATGGACGATACTTTTCTTGCTCCATTCAAACTGGCTGCCTTTAACGTTCGCACACTTATGCAGGTCGGACAACAGATAGGGATGGCTATGTCTTTGGAAAGTCTTAATATCGACGTTTGTTGTCTATCCGAGACCCGTATTCAAGACTCTGGTGAAGTATTACAAATTCGTTCTCCATCTGTCGCTTCAAAAAGCTTGTTTTACGTGCGTTTATCCGGGGACCCTGTGGCATCTGGTCTAGCTGGCATTGCTGTCTCACTAAGCGCTAGACCTGAGGCAGCACTAATCGACTGGATCCCCATTAACATTCGGTTATGTGCTGTTAGATTAGAAAGTACCATCAAAGTGGGGAGAAATCGGCGTGAGAAACGATGTCTTTTTGTCATCTCCGTCTATGCCCCGACAGATTGCAGCCCGGATGCAATCAAGGATGAGTTCTACCACCAGTTAACTGTTCTTCTCCAGAAAGTGCGCTCGACAGATATTGTAGTTCTAGCCGGAGACTTGAATGCTCAGGTCGGGCATCAAAGCACAGAAGAGAGTCGTTTAGGTGGTCGATGGGGACTCGTTGGTCGCAGGACAGATAACGGGGAACGTCTACTGCACATGTGAACAGACCACAACCTGTTTCTGGCTAGCACTAACTTCCGGCACATTCATCGCCGATGTGCCATCAGGCGTCCTCCCTCTGCATCTCAAGCCTGGACTCGGATTGATCACATCGCGATCAGCTACCACTGGCGTGGTTGTGTACAAGACTGCCGCTCCTTTTGGAGTACCTATCTGGAATCTGATCATGCTCTGGTCTGCGCCAATCTTACCTTACTTTTCAGTGGACAACGAAGTGACCGCCACCAAAGGATTGACGTTAGCAAGCTGGCTGCAACTTCAGTTGCTAGTAAGTACCGAACCGAGCTAGCTTCTAGGCTAGCTTCCATTCCACCGAAAAGTATAGATGAGCATTGATTGCAAATTCATGACGCCATGAAATAGGCGAGTAAAGCTGCTTGCGGCTTCGCAAAACATCCCGCTTATAAGCACTGGGTTTCTTCTGGTTCCTTACAACTGATTGAAGCCCGTCGGTCTACTCCGGAGACCGTGAGTTTGACCACAAACGAAGGATATTACGTAATGAAATCGGGCAAAGCTTGCGTAAGGACCGAGAAACCTGGTGGTCGGAGCGTGCTAACGAACTGGAAGCAGCAGCTACATCTGGTAATTACCGGTAGCTCTTCCAAATCATCCGAGCCATTGGCAGCAAGAAGTCTGGTGTGAGTGAAACAATCTGCGAGGATGATGAGATGCTGATCACTAACATTCATCGACCTCTTGGACGATGTGCAGAATTCTTCGAAGGGCAGTTCAAATGACCTGCTGCTCCGGCAACATCGGTCAGACTGTCCTGCCCTCCATGGCCGGTGACGACTGATCCACCAAATGAGACGGAAGTCCGCAAGGAACTCCAACTCTTGAAACGTTACAAATCACCGGGCCCAGACGACTTACCTCCGGCTCTTTTTAAAGATGGTGGTGACTTTCTGACTAAGGGACTGACAACGTTGTTTGCAAAGGTCTGGGAACTAGAGAGTGTACCAACGTCATGGAATGAGTCGATAGTTGTCATTATCTTTAAAAAGGGTTCACGTCGTTCCTGTAACAACTATCGGGGGATAAGTCTACTTCCGATCGCGTCCAAGCTATTGGCTTCCGTTATACTTCGTAGGTTGTTCAAAACCCGAGAAAGATTGACTCGAGAGAAGCAGGCTGGGTTTCGTTCTGGTCGAGGATGTATTGATCATATCTTCACCCTCCGCCAAATGTTAGAACACCGTCATACTTATCAAAGGCCAACAATCGTAGTGTTTCTTGACATCAGGGCTACCTTCGATTCGTTGGACAGGACTTTTCTCTAGGATTGTCTATTGAAGAAGGGTGTGCCTGAGAAGTTTATTAACATCCTAAAAGCCCTATACACAAACACCTCAGGCAGAGTGAGGGCATACAACCACCTTTCTTTATTGTTCCATTCAAGCAATGGAGTTAGGCAGGGTTGCCCAATCTCACCATTCCTCTCCAACTTTGCCATCGATGACATTCTGGAAACAGCTCTGATGGATGTAAGTAGTGGCGGTGTAGGTCAGTGGCCTGAAGTAAGTCTTTTCGACCTTGAGTATGCGGATGATATTGTCTTACTGTGCGAGAATGCCCAAGCCATGCAATCCGCACTTAATCAGTTGGCAATCAATATCCGTAGGTATGGTACGTGCTTTGCACCCTCGAAGTGCAAAGAACTTCTACAAGATTGGCAGGATTGTAATTCTGTACTCACTCTGGATGGTGAGCAGATAGAAGTAGTCGAGAAGTTCGTGTATCTAGGTAGCTGCATAAGTGCTGGTGGTGGTGTGAGTGATGAGATCAATGCACGTATAGTGAAAGCCAGAGCGGCTTATGCCAATCTGGGCCACCTTTGGCGCCTTCGTGATGTTAGTCTGGCTGCAAAAGGTCGGATCTACAACGCGTCGGTGAGAGCAGTTTTGCTCTATGCTTGTGAAACCTGGCCTCTCCGAGTTGATGATGTTAGGCGACTCTCTGTGTTCGATCATCGTTGTCTCCGAAGAATTGCTGACATCCTGTGGCAACACCATGTCAGTAATGCAGAAATTCGGCATCGTGTGTTCAGGCGCAGAGACGATAATCCAATCGGTATCACTATCTTGAAACATCAACTTCGGTGGCTTGAACATGTTCTATGAATGTCGTCCCAGAGAATTCCACATCGTGCACTATTTGCCGACCCTGAGACTAGTTGGAAAAAGCGGAGAGGTGGTCAGTGTATGACATGGTGTCGTGGTATGAGAGAAAGCTGAAAAAGGCTAGCTTGTGTTGGTCCTTCACGATTCCCTGGCTGGGGTCCTAGAGATAGTGCAACACAGTGGCTAGAGACGTTACCAGATATATCTCAGAATAGAAGCCAGTGGTGAACGTGTTGTAACCTTCTTTTACTTTCTTCATAAAAAGTGGTTGCTTCTTCCTTAACTGAACGATTTCTTCTTATTGTACCTTTCCGTTTCCCCCATTATTAAAAAGGGAGTAAATTCAGTGCCCTTCGCTTTTCAATTATGCTGACAGTGGACACGTCATAAAGTCTTTCAAGATAATTTACAAACATTATTTAAGATATAAACACTCAAACATCTGAACATCTTAACGATGTCACGAATATTCGAAGCTTGACAAC